GTAAAATCGGAGAACGAGAATTGCTGGGTCTTTGTCCGCGGTGAATTCACTCTAATTCTCAGGAGGTTCGTTTCTCGGTTCCTCTTCAGATCTTTCCAGTTCGCGATTCCTTTGTCTATTTATCTTCCTTTTCTGGGTTACTCGAGCTCTTATTATGAGCAGCGCGGTTATTTCTTCGTTTCATTCTTCCTGATTTGCACCCTCCAACAAACCTTGCTTCGATCGGTTACAGTTTGTTTCCATCTTTAATCGCGACGTTTTTGCTTAAATTGTTTGTGATACTTTGATTTCATATTTCTCAATGATGATAAGTATCAAAGAATAGTATAGATGCTATCGAAAATTAAATCACAGCTTTGAAATATCTCGATTTTATTTTATTTTATTGAATAAATTACGATACTAAAGAAATATTTGCGCTTGATATTGAATATTTTTGATATCGGCGTTTTGTCTTTAATACCAAACTGATGTCGATACGTAAAAAATATCAGTAAATTTAGTAATTTTGCAATATCTTTACTACACATATTAATACATTGATTTTGTAAATTAATTACTATAAAACTTTTATACCGGCAACTCCGATATTGCAAAATATTGATATATTATTGAATTTAAATGATAATATCATGATACGATGAATACTAATATGATGGATGCGTGCATCGTCGAACTAATCGCATAATTATGGCGCCAGTTGATTTAACGGGTTGACGAATTAAATTCCAGTTCAGAGAATCTATGCGAAAACGATTGCGCTGGAACGTTGCTATCGGGTTTTTGGTTAGCGCCACATTTTTAGTTGAAATTGAAGGATAACAGATTGTCAATGAAGAGTTTGCAGCACCGGGAAAATATTCTATTCGAGACAGTTCGTGAATAATTCAAAAATTTCGTCTGTTTTTTTGCGCGATCACCGCAGTGGGTTTTTTATGATTGCGGAATAATATGACGGCTTTTTTTTCGCTTTGTGAATCCAAATAAAATTATCTGCCATCGCTTCGATAAATATTTTTAGAGTCACGGTTATTTTTTTTTTATTATCTTGTTTCAAGAAAGCTTACACGTGTCAATTTTTCGACAAATTTTAAGTTGGTTTGATCAGTAAGTTTTCAGTTATTTAATTATTGGAATAAAAAACGCGGTTGCAGCAAAATCTTGAACACTAATGAACTCAAATGTTACAATACTCTCTGATTTTATCTCTTTTTATCAGCTAAACATTTGACATCACAATTATATTTTACTGCGCACGTAATCAAGTTTGTCGACTAAATTTGTATATTTAACTGTATAACTTCTTATTTCGATTTTTTTACGTGTCTTTAACTATATAATTTTATATATCTCATCATTTTTAAGTATGATTCTTGATGTTGAGCCATATTTATTCTTCCATTGAATAGGAATATAATGGGAATGTAACAATAATCTCAACATGTTTAATTATTTTATGTACTGGATTACAAAAGTAATTCTGAAAAAACTGGAATATTAATCTATCGCGATCGCGTTCGAGGAACGCTGTTAAACGGAAACCGCCCTGCGAATAGAAAAACTCAAAGCCGATCTTTCTTTCCGCGAGTGTCAAACTGGAGGCATGTGTAGGACCTTCTGGTAATAAAATAACGAGTCTCCCGCAGTTCTTTGAAGTAGCACTCTCGCGGTCGTCGGTATAATTCCTTGCATCCTGTGCCCTTCTCGACACATCCCACCGCAGTCAGGGCCTTTTTTTTTTATTTTTACAAAGGCTATATACGTCGCAAAAATAAACGGCTCGCGTAAGCGCGTGTTGGGTGACACATTGCTGAAAATACAACCCCGAGCTGCCGTACGGCAGCGCCAAGAGTGCTGATGTCTCACGGTAATTACGCTTGGAAAAATAAAAAGGAGGAAACGAAAAGGAGGAAAAGGATATTTGACAAGTGCTCTGTCTACGTCTATATGTAGAAAATCGCACGCAATCGGGAACTTATAAATTTTTCATGCGTATATTTTATCAGATTTCACATTACTGTTATCATGATTAATTATAACTTTGTTTATTACTATTTTTAAATAAATTTAGCAAGCAAATTTTAATGTAAAAATAATTTCTAAAATTATACAATTAATTGAAAACCAATGTTATGATGATTGCATAATAATTTATTCACATAATTGTCATATTTATGAATCCAGGCTTAGGTTTGTTAGAGAT